TGAAAAATTAGAGGGAACATTGAAGGCCGGTCTGTGAAAATATTGTCTGACATTAAACCTGTCCTTGGTGCAAAAAAGGTTGGGGACTGCTATCTTGGAGTATAAAAAACGCATGGCAGGAGTGGACATGTCAGATCAGATGCTGGAAACAAATCCAATCAATCACAAACCCAGAAGATGGAACATGACGGTTTGCCAGTACATTGCAGTAACTAACAGTTTCATCCTTTAAAAGGAGTTACATCAGCAAGTAGCAGAAGCATGAGACTCGCCAGGCCTTCTAGGAGGAGCTCGACACACATCTCCTAGGTGTTCGCTTGGATGCCAGCCCTGCAACCAAAAGTCGAAGCTCTTTCCTGTCCCTACGAGCACTGGAGATGTGGGAAAGAGGCAGAGGGTGGCCCATTTATCAGTAAGTCAAACAAGTGGACCAAGAAGTTTGCCAGTTACCTATTTGAGATCAGTCTGTTCAGTGTTTTCATAATTGATAAACGTAAAAGACGACAGTGCATGTGTCACACACTTCTGCCATGCATTCAGAGAGTTGTGAAATGCTGGACCAGCCAAGATGTTTGAAAAAACAATCAACAAAAAAAGGAACAAGGGAACGAAGGCTTTGTGGTAGAAAGGTTTTCCACATCCTAAAGGTGGGTGGTATCTGGATTCTGGGAAATACTGAACACCTAATTCTTTTACTGTTTTAACACAAAAAAGTCTAGTACTTAAAGAAATCCTGTGTATATGTGTAAATGATTTTTATTTTCTGCTTGAAAGTCAATGACAAAAATGAACTTCTCTTATGTTTTAATTAAAAATTACACTTTTTTTTAACATGCTCATTTTAAAAGAACAATGTTTTATTTGAACGTATGGATCCTGCAAACTCCCAACAAGCAGAACAAAGTGAAGGTATCGAAGAATATGTAGACTTTGTATGAAAACCATGGCTCAGGAAAACAAAGCTGGAGTTTCCCATGTTACTGAATATTATTATTTTCCATGTTAATCTTATTTTTTTAATTTTGCTAAACAACTGAAGTAACTTCTATGATTTTTTTTTAAAATGTGAACGTCAGTTTAATGCTGTTTTTAACAGAAATATAAGAGAGTAAGATGGTTTTTTTTCCATAAAAAATTATATTCAAATTCTGATAAAAATAGATAAAAATGCAATCGAGTGTTTTTGTTTGTCTGAAAGCAGAAATGCTAGTTTTCTTTATCTATTCACAGTTTTCAAATAATAACATAAAATATTTTAGAAGTCTTGAAAGTTCAGTGAATATCACAAAGAATTTGTTAGCTGGGAGCTGGTAATTCTAGTTGTAGCTGTTAGCTAATAGCCTAACGTACCTTGGCTAACTGATAACTATTAGCCAACTGATGGCATAGCAATAAATTATACATCTTTTTTATTATGACTAAATGTTTAAAATGTTAAATTTAATTTAAAGAATAAATTAAATAAGATTTAAAACTAAACCTTAGATGATTACATAAACACACCAATAACAGCTTAAAATGAACAAATCGATGTAAAATCAATGTTGGTAGGAGAAAGATTCAAAATGGAAGTACTTCCTTGCTGTGCTTCTACTAATTTTATTAATTGCTTTTTAGTTATTACTACCAGCCTGCTTTTTGCTCTTGGCTGTTTTGGGCGTCGTCTTTTTTTTTTTTGTTTGTTTGTTTGTTTGTTTGTTTTTTACAATTTTCTGGTGTTTGTTGTTGTTGTTTTAGCCTCTTTGTGGTGCTTTTTATTTTACTATTATGCCCCGCCATGGGCTGGTCATCATTTCGTTGTGTCTGTGGTTGTTATAACAAACTTGGACAGTCTTTATCATCTTTTGCAGTTGGGGTCTGATCTTGCTGTCTAATTTTGAGCGTATCTGGTCGTATGTCAGTTAGCTTTAAAATGGAAATGATTTTGAAAAGCTGGTGCCTTGTTCGATTTGGTTTCTCGTCAGTCGGGTGATATCTGCAGTGGCGTTGAATGCTATGTGTCGAACTGTCAGTCATCTTGTCAGAGTCGCCGTGCTGCAGTGGAGGAGACGAGCATTTTCATTCAGCTGACAACACGTGAATCAGTCGACCGGCTGCCGCTGCTCATGTGAAGCCAACATCCACATTTACAAATGAATCCTGACGCCTCGGTGTGCGCCAGGGGGGTTGGAACACTGAGCGTTATGGTGGAGAGGGTGTTGTGGCACATTTTGTCCCGTCTGTAAACCTCCAGCTGCTGTAGAGCTCCCGGCAGACAAACCCACGGCGGACCCTGCACCTTGTTTAGGAGGAAACAAATGGCAAATGAAAAGACATTAAGTTCCACATGTTAGGCACAGGTGTCAGAGTAATAACGCATATCAGAGAAGAAGAAGAAGAGGAGGAGGAAGAGGAGGAGGTTTGTGTTTACCGCCGGATAATACGAGCATGGTCTCGGGGGAGACGGGCTGTGCGCGCCGCTGTCGGTTCCCACTCGTCCTGCAGCGATGGATGTTTGATTGGACGGCTCTCGCTGCTGTTTGCTGTCGGCTCTAATGGGCCCTGAAAGCTGCTGCTGCTCCAGCGGCGTTTATTCCAGCCTTCATGTCTGCCGTAACTCTCCATTTCCTCTCACGCAGGAACAAGGCCGAACCGTCAGAACGTTTCAGGATCCAGGAGGTGGAACGACAACACGACAGTGCTCCTCGAACACATTTCCACTTCTTGTCTCCGGGTTGATTTTCCTGGTCCTCCATTTCTTTGTGGTCTGGTTTCATCTTCTATTGTATTTCTTCTGTTTTTGCTCCAGATGAACTTCTTTGTTGTGCTTTCTGTGTTATTTTTCATTACTTTTGTGCCTATTTTTTCCCCTTCGTGGTCATTCTCAGTAGTTGTGTTACATCTCTATTTGAAGAAATGTTGGGATATTAAAAATAAGTTTTTTTTCTTCTATTTATTAAAGTAAAGAAAACCATGAGAAAAATACAGCCACAGCAACACACAAATACACACTCTTATCTGAATTAATTAGCCTATTCCTTGACACTCCCTTGTGTTCTTCCACATCTTACTACTGGAGGATTCCCACACACTGGAAAATAATACAAAGGCATCAATCCAAGAATATTCATGTACTGATCTTGTAATATTAAAAAGTAATTAAGGGCAAATAAAAAACACAGTATTGACAGTATTCACCTAACTTGCTCGGGTGAGAGGCTTTACTGCTGGTACTCACGGACACGTTACTTCCTTTTGTTGCTCCTCTCAGCCTCAATGAGTGCAAACGGCAGAAGTGAAATAATACACTGCAACAAAGAGTTAATGATATCTTGATAGTGTAAGTAGAAAAAAACTACCAGATGTTACAGCTAACATAACAATGCTGACAGCAAAACGACAGGGTCGAAGATTATCAGTTACACCAACCTGAGATGGAGTTAAGGAAAAAGTAAGTAAGTAATAATAGAACTAATGAAATCTATATTACACACTGTAATATCAGCAGCTGTAGAAGTTTGTTTCTGTCACTGGAAGGAAGAAATGCTAGGCAAAGGTCAGAAACTGGGGTTAATATCTCAAAATATTTCTAGTTATATTTTTAAATTTTTATTTGCTTTTGAGTGAATCGCATGATATTTTCTAACTGATCTGATTTTTCAATAATCGGTCATGGAAACGTCTGTACTGTCATGTCTGTAGCCAAGAGAGAGTAAATAAATAGGCTTCTAGACAAAAAGATCAGTAGAGCAAGGAGTTTATTATTAAAATATTCTTCAATGGGAACCTATTTCTGCTAGAGGAAAAAATGTGAGGAAAATGGTTCTCTGATTTCTTATTTATTTACATGGTCTTTTAAAATGGGCTTCAAACACAGAAATATTTTAATGTATGAAAGGTCAATTATACGTTTTTTTTTTAAAGCCATTTCTACCACTGAGGAAGAAAGTCACAAAGTATGCCTTACAAATATCATAATTAGAGATAGTAAGTAGTCAAACGTCTACACAAATAAAATATTTCATACAATTAATATTATCATTTTCATTTTTTTTAATCTAAGGAGGGCAATTTTCATGATACAGTAAAAACAGTAAAGTTAAACAATGCATTGTAATATATTTTAAATGATTTAATGGTGATGTTAGCCCTGTCCAGGGTCCTCGCCTCTCGCCCTATGGCAGCTCAGACAGACCCCAGCCCAACGGCACCCCTGAATTGGATAAATGGGAAAAAAAATGGAAGGATGGATTTAAGAGGACAAAAATCAAGTATAAGAATTCATCCTCTGTCCTCTGCTGGTTGATGGTATAATCAGGATGTGCTGAACAGAGAAAGCTTTCACCCCCCAAAAAGAAAAAAAGATTATCCTATAACAGAAAATTCCAACTTTATTCTAAATTTTGTTTAACATGAACTAAATGAAAAGTCATTAAATCCAGCCCCTTCATTCCCTAAAATGCCTCAAAATGCAGACGAAGCTCTGATTGTGTCGCTGATGTTAGTGATTCTGAATGCTTTGCTGAGCTGCATTTCCTGAAGCGATCTCTCCTCCAGAAAAATAAAAACCAGAAACCACCAGAACTGTCCTCGAGGACCGGACCTGCCCGAGGTCATAACACACACAGACCTGCCTGCGAGGCTCGACCCAGGGAAAACACACCCACTGCTATTCCCCCGGTGAAGAACCAACTTCCAGGCTCCTCTAACACACACACACTCGTCTCAGAGTTTGTATTCAGATCACTCTTCTTCTCTTGTTTTGTACTCGTGTGAAACTCTCACTCTGACCTGGAACCAGCTCCAGGGCTCGGTCTAATTGTTAGCAGAATAATGAGTTAAAAGGATTTGAAGATGTTCATTTCCAAACCCATAACTGAGCCGCTTTTGTTTGGCTTTCCCACGTCACTCTCTTGTGTTCAGCCTGCAGAGAAAATGTAAACCCTGCTGAAATACTTTGAACTTCAACTCCCAGCATGCACTCCTACCACCTGTCCTCCTTTCATGCCCTTAAACTCCTCTGGTTAACCTTAAATACCACCTTTGTTCCCTGACCTTTTATTCGTGGCGTCATTTAAAGAAGGATAACCGTCCCACATCCCTCTCGGTTCCTCTGGGGTCACTCTGGGTGAAAAAAAGAAAATGCTAATGTGTCTGAGCTAAGCTGAACTTGCCTGTCCGTGATCTGATGTCAGGTTTAACATCAGAACCAGAATTTGAATAAAAATGCAGATAACTGAATTTCAGATATTCTACTTCAACCTCGTGCCTGGTACGGGATCAGGTACGGCATTAGCATATCAACTTACCACTGGCAGCATTAGCTACTGTACACTGATACTAAGGGTAAAAAATAGTCCAAATTCTTTCAGCTACAATAAAACGGTCAGTGCAACTGTTCTCCCAGCTGTTTCTACAAAGTTTAATAAGGATTTACAAAGTTTACCAGAAATAGAGTTTAGTTAGAAGGACATTAGCTAGCTAGGCATTATTTAAAGTTGTATGTTCTGAAGTATTTCTTAAATAAATTAAAACATAAACCACTGCTGTATCTTTGCATAGGAAAGACGCACAACGGTTAAATTGCTCTCAACAAAAGTTCACTTTCACAAGAGACAGAGATGAATAATATCAAATGTCAGAATGAAGATGCTGAAAACCAACCAAACTTAAACCTAGATAACGTCTGAGATGTTCCATCCACAACACAAGGTTAGTTGTTAAGACGGTGCTGTTCTCAGTCGCAATAAATTTGGTTGTGTTGCAATTTCCAAGCATCTTCCGCCATTGGACTGTAGCATGAATGGGTAGTCTAGAGCTCCTGTATTAGATTACATTATAAGCTGCAGGTTAACTGTTTTGTATGTCTGCATATTCTGTATGTCTGTGTATTATTATTAACTTAAAGTACATTCCTCCTACACATGATTTTGCATGTAATTAATTTATTTGAGGATTAAGTATCAGAATTTCAGGAGCGGGACCACGCCTCCAAACACGCTCCTTCCGGTTCTTATCTATTTAGATTCCCTCAGTTCTACAAGCTGTTCATTCTTGTTTATGTGCCCCACCGTCCCTCTCCTTTTTAATTCTTTAATTGGTTAGCCTACAAAATTAGCATTGGTTTATGTGATCAGAGTCGCCTGAAGCGTTTCAGTCCAATCCCTGGATACAGTGGACAGAAAACAAGGAAAAGCACAGCAGGTCAAAGGTGCAATACTTTCAGAAATTCAGATTACTTGTGGCCCATGTTTGCAGTTACAGGTGTCAGGTGCGTTGTGGCATTTAGGAGACACCGAGCCAAAATCAACAGAGATTAGGTCTGAATGTGTCTATTATCTGGGATTTTATCGCAGTATGAGTGCAGGTTGGATGTGTTTGAGGGTAGCGGTGTGGGAGTACCTTCCTGTCTTCCCTGATATTACGTAATCTCGCCGTGACGCCGCTCAGGTCCTCACTGGTACAGAATTACAACCACCTCTCTGCTTCCTGAGCACTGCATTTCTCCGTCAGCTGACCGTAGCAGCGCCGTGCTTCCTGAGGCGTGTTCGCCAACCGGTGAGCCCGTCTGTTGTCATGGCGAGCAGCTGACGGTTTGCGGCGCAACATTAGGAGGGTTAATCCACATAAATGTTGACAGCCATATTGCTGACACAGGGAGTTAATAAGACTAACAGATTATTAGCTTCATAACATTCCTCCGTCATCACGCCACCGCCTGTCAATCATTGACACAATTAAATTGTTTAATGAATAAATTTGCATTGATAATGGCGGGGCTGCGAGGGAACATCTGGCTGCGTCGGTTTAATGGCGAGCGTTGCATCAGACGCCCATATGGAGGCCGAGTGGAGGGGCTGTTTGATGCTAACTAAATGAAAAGTATCACTCACATTAATTTGACAGTCAGGAAATCACTTAGTAAGACTGATTCTGCCCAATTACAGCCTCCACAGCTAATTACTATAGGAGGAGCCATTTTCACACAAACACACACTCTCCGTCCCCCCGTCAGCAGCCAGGAAAAACACCCAGCTCCACTAAAACACTCACAGCTTCTTCTTCTTCCACCAATCCGAATGAAAATGAAATGCAAATTGCCCCCGCGTGCTCGCCGCCATCACATCTGGCCCAGACGCTTTCCACTTTTCACGTGTGCATCTCCTCACAATTAAAATGAACAGGAGCAGCAGCGCCACAGATATACATTTCAAAATAAGACGTAATTATCCTGCAGGAGCCGCGACGACTTCAGCTGAAATCATTTCCGGGAAGGAAACGTGAATATTCATGGTGACATGAAGTGAACGAAGGTTTTTCTCTTTCTTTGTGTCTCACTGAGAAGTTAGAGAAGTTGTGTTCGATGGATTCAGAGTGAGAAACTCATCAACGCAATGAGAAAACCGGAGAGGCTCGTTTAGTATGAAATCAACAGGACCAGGATGTAAATTTAATGAAGTTTCCAAAGTTTGGTGGTAATTATAAAGAAATGGAGAAAGTGGCAGTGAGAGGGACTCACTGTTCATTCCACATAAGATAAAAGATTTTAATTTAGTTTATTTGTTCTAGTTTTCATTCAAACCCACAGACTGTAGGTAAAAGATGGATATAGTCACTATGATGTCACCAGTTAGTTTGTGAAATCCTATTTGTTTGTTTGTGGGGGTTTTTTTTGTTAGCTTTATGGATGCTTCCATGTTTATTTCTTGGAGCAAAAGTGACCATGTATGGATGAGGCATAGAGTGCCAAATTATCAGCTAAAGCTAGCTAGTTTGGTCACGCTAACTGGTGCTGAGTAACATCCAAATAAAATCCCAAAATTGACCTCTTCGATAGGAGCCACATTATTGGTCAGACAACTGCATTAGAAATGCTCCAAAAGGCTCTAAGAGCACAAACACAGTGTAGAGGTCCAGCTCAGTTAGCTGGTGAAGCCTAGCAAAGAGCTAGCAGCTACAACCTCCTGTGTCGTTATCCACCTGGCAGTTAGAGGCCAAACTGCTAATAAGTTAAACAGGTGTGTTATTAAAAACCATTAACCCCCTTTATAGAGACCCAACTGTTTTGTACCACACTGTAAACATGGTGTAAAAGAATAGGTAGCTGCTCTGAATTAAGCATTAATGACGCATAGTTTTGCTGAAATGTTTGTTATTGTATTGTCCAGCTGTTATTCTGCAGGGCGATTAATGGATTCTTCCGATTCATGGATGGAGACGTGTAAGTGACAGAACAACAGAGCAAGAGTTAACCTGCAGCGCTGAAACAGTCGCGCTTCGATGCTCCTCCGTGATTCAGTTTTAACACAAACATGTTGACTCATGGAGCGTGTTTGGAGGTGATTAACCTCTAAAGCTTTGGTCAAATAATAATAAGACTAGTTCGACCAGAGGGACTGAGTGGGGAGAAAAGATTAGCTTTATCCTGAGTGTTTCAGAGGGAGCGTGGGCGTAGAATGACTCTTTGTTTGCGTCTGTTTGCTTTACATTTGAATTCAAGCCTGATATCTGCCGGGCTTCGGGAGCGGCCCGGATTCTCCCGCTCTATTCCTCTTCCTGGGGAACAGGCGGGGACGGTCTGGCCGCCGTCCATGTTGGCCCACTCGGCCTCCTCCACAGCCGGGTTGAAACACACTGTGGAGCATTGTGTGGTGGCCCGGGGTGCGGTGCTGCGACGTAGGCGTCGAAGAGACGCTCAGTCCTCGATCTTAGAGTTGGAGCTCCACGGAGACTTAAACTTCCTCACAGACCTGACAGTCAGAGGTCTTTAAGATCTGAGTCAACCAACTGATCTCCAATTCAACATTTATCTTTTCAGTTTATTTAATTTAACGCTTTAACTCTTGATTTGACACATTCTGCACATACAAAGATGAAATTTTAACTGATTTCGGAGGAACGGTTTTAAGTGTTAGATGAATCCGTGCAAAATATTTGATGTTATTTCACGGTGCTGTCATTATTATGCCTGGTTGTAGTTGTAGCTATTTTGCTTAATAAAATGCAGATTTGCTGTGCGACAGCTCTGGTGTGATCGCGCAGCAGTAAATGGAGGCTCGGCTCTGGGCAGAAAGAGCAGCAGTGTGTCTGCTCTCCTGCCTGTTAATCTGTTTGCACATTCGAGGCGCTAACAATGTGTTGACAACGAGCTGACATCACCCAGATGTCAGAGGCATCTGCCTTCTCCAGCCGACCAAATCAGATCTCATTGTTCCTCCTGCTGCGTCTCCGACCCGCACACGGCTGACTCTGCTCATCCTGCTGCTCCAAGGGAAACATCTCCACGAGGAGAAGGGAAGTAGGAAGGAAACAATATTCTGATATTTGTAGATATATGAGAAGGAAAAATGCAGAAGAACAAATCATAGGCATGGCCTCAGGTTTTCAGGGTCAAGAAGGTGGTTCAGGCAAACAGACCAAAAAGTGCTCTGGCCTTCTAGAAAACGTGTTTCCCTTCAGGCATGCAATGATTTTCCTTGTGTTGTGCCACATGTATGTGCTCATGCACGCCGACAGAGTTGTAACTTTGTAAGCTAACCTCATGTACACCACACAGCTATCAGTCCACGTACAATCTAAAATGAAACTAAAAGGAGGTGAAAAGATTATCTGAAAGTTGTACAAAAGAACAACGTGGATGATATTAAATAATTATCATTATATTAACTTTTAAATGTCACCACTATCTTCAGTAGTAGGTACATAACGTCTCCCTTAACGCAGTCCCATTATGTTGTGTGCAATAAAGTAAACCAGGATTCAACACATTCATTAAAAATAAGCTGCAGCAATACGAGTGAACTTTGTGTTTTTTCATTTTGGTTTTAACCTGAGGAGTGTGACTGCAAAGGAAGTACAGCACAGTCAGCCTTTCTTTGTGTTAGCTGGCTTGAAAAAACATAAAACCCAGCTGGAGATCACAGGCATCATGATGATTTTAAACTCTGTTAAGCTGGTTGTTTTAGGCTCTGTGTGCGATCACTTAAAAAAGGGCATGTTGCACATCATCTAACTCTGATTCTGCACAAAATGATCCCTATGAGTGCCACCTGCTCCAATTTATCATATGATGTAGGTCATTAGGAATCTATAAATAACATAAAAACAGTAGAATGTAGCACAATTTTATTGCACAGAACGATAACATAAACATTTTAATTCCAGTTTGTGTTTTTAATGCACATTAGACTCTGAAACTTTAAAGCAATTTCCACGTCTCCTTTCTTAGTCTGTGGGACATTAACCTTTAATGTTTAAGTAGATCCTGTTCAGACTGATGCAAATCAAAGTGAAATTAATGTTACTGATTGAACAGGTAGCCTTGGTGTGTGTTCTAGCAGCTGCAGTTCAATCAGAGTAAAACAGACCTAGACAACATTTACACAGTTTCAATAAATTAATACTTTGTTCATTCCTGTGACAATGAGAGGGGCGTTTAGCATTCCTGTAAGTTTACAGCTGCACAGCAAATCCAGCATGTCCAAATTAACACTGTCGGATTTGATTTCAACACTATTAAAGTGTCTATATGGGTCCACACCAGAGAGTGTTAATTTAACTC